TGGCCTCAAATCTTTCCAAAAACTTGTGTTCATACAGATCTGAGTGTGGCATAGTCGGTATAATACCATGCAGAAAAATATGTTTGTATGTTACAAGAAGTTAAGATGGTATTCAACTTTAATACTTTCTGTGTATGTTTTTGGTATACATATCCTTGGGGTGGGTAGTCCCAGTGTAATTGCTGGGGTGGCATGCATGGAGATAGTGCTGTTCTGCTTCAACCTTCTCACCACCAGACTTTCTCGCCCAAATTCTTCTGCACTTTTTTTCTTGTATTCTTCAATATTTCTGGAAATGAACCTTCATTTCCAGAATCTTCTGAAGGAAAGTGTAGACTATAAACATTAACTATTTTGTGAATTTGTGATGAAAAGAGGGAAGTGGTAGTGTTTTTCATTGAATAAACAGTGGTTCTTAATTAGGCTGGCGGGTACTGTAACGCTAGTTTCTACTTGCTCTTACAATCATACATGAATATTCCGGGACCCCTCCACCCTCAATAGAAGCTACTTACAAGATTATGCCCAATTGGCTATCCAACCCTGAAATCTAACAGTTAGACCAATCAGAGAGTAGCTTGTTTGTTGACAGTTTTTTTTACTTTACTCAACTGCAGTTCTGTTCTTTATCTCTAGAAAAGTTCTTTGTTCGATAATTTGAGAGTGTATGAGGATAAAATGTCATGAAAGTCGATCACTATGACGACTTTTCTTAAGGATTCCGATGAAATCTTGAAGCAATATTTCATGATTTTCCCTGAAATTCATGAAAATTTGTCTTGTCAAATTAAACGGTTTACAGTAGCGTCTGGTGTTGCATCATCTTTTGAAAAATCAGTAAGAATCAACATGACCTAACTAGACACTGATAAATATTTAATCAATGGGTGACCTTGATAAGATTGAAATAATACAGAATTCAAATTTTGTACTACTGAGCATGTTACTGCACATGAATGCAATGCATTGTGGGAGTCAAACTCAAATTTTGCACTACTGAGCATGTTACTGCACATGAATGCAATGCATTGTGGGAGTCAAACTCAAATTTTGCAATACTGAGCATGTTACTGCACATATATGCAATGAATTATGGGAAATAACACTTTATTTTAGCTGGAATTTGTAGCTGCTTTGTACAAGGTTTATTTTCACTGTTTTTTGATGAGTTTAAAGTAAAATATAGGAAAAAGGATATTTTCACTGGATTTTATTTTCACTGACTCCTCCCTTCAGCGAAAATAAATTCCAAGTGAAAATAAAGTAATGTACAGTAATGGAAAACATGTATCACCCTGAAAACTCACAAGTTATATACCATTTTTTTTATTTATCAATTATCAATACAACTTTTTCATCACATAATAATAATAATGCAGTTTTATTACACCGTAATGAAATTACAAATTCATTTTTGGCTGAAAGTAATAAAAGGTAAAGTAAAAAGGTAAGTAAAAAACAGAATGTTAAAATAACATAAGATTTGGTTGTAAAAAATTAATGTAGTTTGTGTTTTTCAAAACACACTTTTAGATACTGTGTCACATGTCTAATTAGTTTAGGATTATTAGTATTAATAATGATAATAAACTTGTCGATATTGTTTTCAGACTGGAAAGTGGGAATTTCCTTGGTAAATTCAGCATATATAGTATCCCTTTCATCAGTGTAATAGCTACAGTCTGTAATCAAATGAACTTCATCTTCAATACTGTCGCTCCTACACTTATCACAAATCCTGTTCTCCAGTGAGATTTTAGGTCTCTTATGTCTGCCTACTTCTATTTTGAGTTTGTGACAACTAAGTCTCAATTGAGACAGTGATCTAATATCTTGTCTATTATTTAACAGAACTAATATCACTTTTAAGTAGACTATAAGATCTGAGTTTGGCATCTGGTCTCTTGATATTATATGTATATCACCAAGGAAAATGTTGACATATACGGGTAAATAAATAATCTCACCATAGAAACCAGTGGAAATATTACTCTGACTCTTATATCTGATTTTTTTCGGTATTCTGATGGTATGAACTCGTAATAATGATAGTATGACAGACATGATATAGAATCCTTGAATTTGGTTTGAACCTTAATAAAATGTATTTGTGATTACAATTTTGGGGAGTACACTTTATCAAAATTTCTTGCTTTAGTACTACAGTATTATCTACAATTACATTTATATCACATTAGATATAGTCACTGTTGGATTTGGTGGGTGAACTAGCCTAACAGGTGATAGCTTTACAACCCCCCAAATGTAGAACTGTTAAATACAATAAAAATGTACAAAATACAATAAGATTCTAGCTGTGAAAATACAGAAAATGGTTAGTGTAGCAGAGTAGCCTTATGGTTACCGGGG